AATTATGTTATTGAATTTTAAAAATCAAATTAATTATAATATATTATGTTATCAAATATAAAAAAAAATCATATTCAAGTACATTTTGATATATTATTATTACGTAGACGGGTGTGGTGCGATGGTGACTCGTCACGGTAAATCACTAATGGAACATAATATTAGCTCGTTATTTATAATAATTATCAATACATTTATATGATGCCACAATTAATGATGATATTTTAACTAGATAATCGTCTWTCGAGCATACAAATTTACACCTCTATCAATCAGAAAACTGTTGGGTTAGGTTATCGTCGACTAGCGATCACGGTGTATACGAATATAATTACTATATACACCGGAACTTCGGTGTCTCAAACTATGAAATCTTAAAGTTCGATTTTATACTTTTTCCTATAATTTATTCACATATTTTAAATTACCTCTGTGACTTGAAGTTTTGAATGTTTTGATACGTCGAATCGATATTGTCCAACCATCGTGAAGTTTCCCCTTCCCCGACTACGACTGATTTATTTGAGAGTTATGTACTCATTTTAACATTAAAATATAATTAGCATTAAGCACCACATGGTTTAAAGTRTTTAAACTAAAAATAATAACTAATTTTRTAACGTATATTGTGTATATAATTACATYATGGACAATTATATAATTTGAATGTCTAAAACTGAAAATAAAACAAAACATTTTTGGAGAATAATGAGAATAATTGTCTCCAACGTAACACTTAATGGACTTCAAAAATAATATATGATAATTATTAATCAGATATGAGATGATCTGGGCTTATTATTGTTGTATGTACCACTGATATCCATAAAAATTACAAAATTTGCAATTAGTGTCAGCACACCAATTGGGCTGCTTATATTTTAGGCCAGTATAACAATTACGATGCATATAGGTACTTCAGGTATGTTTACGTATATTAGGTAAATTATAAATGTATTAACTATTGTTATATAACGCTCRTTGTACCTATAACAATTATTGAAAAAATTGACGAACAAATCGTATTAAATAAATAAATGAAGCTRTTTATTTATATATT